ACGGAAACAAACAGAACCGCTTGTAAAAGTTCAGGCAAACAGAGACGTGGTACAGGGCTGAACCTCAAGGCCCACTTTCAAAACACCAACTACCTAACTGACAAAATAACTAAATGAATAAAGGCAGTTAGAGAAACAGAAGATAACTCAGCTTCACAGCGAAACCAGACCTTTCCGTAAGACAAATCAAACACTGTCTGCTGAGGTTTCTACCCAAATGCTAAAGAACACATGTTCTTCTCAGCAAGACCCAGGAATTCCTCCCAAGGGACCTGCAGAGCAGCCCCTTCTGGTCCTTTCCACAAGCACACAGTGTCTTGGGCGTCCCGGAGCACTTCTCCTAGATATCAAGCACACAAATAGCACAGAGAGCTTTACAAGCATCGGGACATAGAGTTACACAGCCCTGAACACACAGTGGTGACACAAGTGGTCAAGCAAAGAAGGAAACATTTCCTGGAAGCAAAGGGGAGGGCAGGTCCCGGTTGCCAGCGCCTATGGGACAAAATGAAACCAGTCCCAGGAGGGACACGGGAGGACCACGTCTCGATCTGGTATAACTCATCCTTCACAACTCAACTGCCAACAACCCAGCAAGTGGAAAACACTGTTTTGTCCCTCAAATTGGGAATGAGAACATTTCTCTTATCTATATTGCTGTTCAATATAGTACTTAAAAATTCAGCCAGAACAAGCACCCAAGGAGAAAAAGGAAAACAATATTAAAATAGGATAAGAAGAGGTCAAAGTTTACTTACTTGATGACAGGATGCTCTCCAGAGCAGACACACAAGCACCACCAAAAGATGCCTACAATAAATACTCAACCTGACAGAATGCGTAATACACGAGCACGACTCCTCCAGCCCAGTAATGAACCTGCTGAAAAACCTGAAACGGAAGAGACTCTGTACACAGCAGCATCGAGAATGACTGCTGGACGGGCAGGGACACTGATGGTCACAGTGGCCGTGATTCCAAGGGGGATCCACACAGCCAACGTAACCGCAATCCAGCTACCAACACGCGGTCTTCACAGCATGGAGAACACAGCCCTCCAAAGCACCAGGGTCCATGAGAGACCGAGAATACCCAAAGCCCTCCAGGGCATGAAGAGCAGAGGACAGGTGTCCAAGTCGTGGGCTTCAAGTGTATTGCAAAGATGCGGGGCGCAACACATAAAGCAGAGCAAAATAAAGGAAGCCAGAACTATAGGAAGCAAAATGAAACAACGAAAGGAAACAGCATGCTTTGCACCAGCATTTCAAAAGACATGAGAATGCACAGCACTGAAGACAGGATGCAAAACCACTGCTGGCACAGAGAGCCAGCAGATCTGTGTCTGCCTGCTGGGCAGCACCACTGGAAGGCCCTTTCCTTAGGAATGCCAGTGGGGACAGACAGAGCCAGACAGATCCACCTCTGGCTGCAGGGAGCAGCCATCAGAAGGCTCCTTCTTGTACATAGCCTGCAGGAACAGGGAAAAACAGCCAGATAAGCCCTGTGCACCTGTAGGCCCCCACTGCAGGCCCTTGGTTCCTTCTGGAAGTCATCACTCAATAGTGGAATCAGACAAACACAGCCCTGTGTGTCTGCCACCATCACGGCAGTCCCAGTGTAGACACAGGCTGAGAGAAGCAGCCCCACCCCCATGCAGAGAATCCCCACTGTAGCTGTACATCTGAGGAGATGCCCCCCTGCTACCTCCCTGTAAATCTGGGGTCAGAGGAACTGGGTGCCTGTCCCATGCCCCCTGCACCATGGAAGGGTACGCAACGTGGGAAGTACCTGGGAACCTACAGGAAGCCAAGAGAATATCAAGATGATGGAGGAAAAGGCATCCTCAGACCTCTACCCCACACAGAACCACTCTGGAAGATACAGTCATGGAATCAAATGCAAGTCGCGCACCTCTAATCTCTTGAGAGTGTAGCAACAGAAATAAAGAAACAACTTCATGAGATTGCAAAAGCAGTCAAATCAGATATAACGTCTCAGGTCAAAGAAGAAATCACAAACACACTGGAAGGATTGTTCAGCAGATCTAAAGAAGACAGACAAAAAAGAGGAGCACAGGAAAATGACAGAAAATTTGAAAGGATATAGAAAGGAATTACAATGCATGAAGCAGGTTCTGAGAGATCCGGAAAATTAAACATTAACTTGAAAGTTCCTGAAACAGCTTGAGAGAGACTGAAGATAGACTTTCAAGCATGGAAGACAGGATTGCAGCTTGTGACCGAGAAACAAAAGGTCTCTTAAAAACACCATGGAATCCGGAAATAACAACTCATCGGCTGCAAGACGATGCAAAGAAGCATAATTGAAGAGTGATCAGTGTCGCTGAAGAAGCAGGGGTCAACACAAATGAAATTCAAAGGACATTCACAGAAGTAGGAGAACGCAACTTCCCGAACATGGGAAATGGATCTGGCATGCGGGTAAGTGAAGCATTATAGGACTCCAACTACCGTAACCAAAGTCAGTGTACACCCAGACATGGAATAATCAAGATCCCAGAAATTCAGCACAAGAACAGAATATTAAAAGCTGTTAGAGAAAAGAAACAGAGCACTTATAAAAGAAAACGAATCAAAATCAATGCAGACTTATCAACACAAACCATCCAGTCAAGAAGAGTTTGGAGGGAAGTGTTTCAAACCCTGAAAGAAAACAACGTGCAAACCAGAGTTGACTACCCTACAAACTATAGTTTGAAATTGATGGAAAAATAAGATACGACCATGATAAGGAACAACTGAAGGAATTTGTGACTACAACCAATCTTACAGAGAGTTCAAAGGCATATTCTACAGAGAGATAGAGATGACCATGGTTCCAGGAACAGCAGCAGAGGAGGATCGCCAAACAGGACAGGCAATGGAATGAAGGGAAGTGTGGAGGGCCAACAGCAGGAGGACAGCAGGGCAGAGGCAAACCAATGTGTGCTGCTTTGAACCAGTAGTGTAGATCGGCTCAGGTCAGCAACAAAAAGAAACATAGGGACAGTGGGTCAAGAAACAAGATCCATCGACACACTGTATACAAGAAACACATCTGACTGGAAAAGAAATTCATGGACTGAACAGCAAAGGAGAGAAAAATGTGTCCCCTGCGACAGAAAACCAGAAAACAAAGCAAGGGTAAGTTGCCCATCAACCGCACAATGGACAAGGAACATATGGTATTTTCCTGCACTGGAGAGCTACCCAACTGCAGGTAGAATAATTTCAGGGCTGCTGTAGGTAAATGGACCGAACTGGAGATCATGTTCATGGGTGAAACCGTGCGACTTATACACGTGACCCCAGTATCAGGAACAGAAGGAGTTCATGGGACCCAAAAGCAAGAGTTACTGTAAGAGTGACGGGGGAGGAAACACCTGGGAGGGAAAGGCAGTAACTACTGTTAAATTCTTATTGCTTTGAACTCTTGGGTTTTTTTAAACAATTTTGTTAGGTTAGGCTTTGTTCTGTCCTGTGTTGTTCTATTTTACCCACATGACGAGAGGGGCAGCTATTTTGAATATAATGGGATCTGTGATGATGACCCAGGATTCCTAACGTATTTCTTTGAAGCCTTATAATGCTCTCATTCATTGATATAATCGGTTTTATTGATTTCTTTCATTCTATTGTGTGTGATGGTATGAACATGTATTCTGAAACAAATGAGACATTACGGTAGCCAATGCTGACTTTCTATCACCTTGTTTTGAGGTCCTATGAGGCTTCTGTTCATCGGATTTGATTAGTTCTATCCTGTTGTGTTTAATTTGGGTTCATTATGTTGGGGGTATAGACAGCTTTTCTGCGGACAATGAGATAGGAAAGTCTTGCTTGGACAAAGGAGTCAGGCGTAGACAACGCAAAGAGCTTTAACAAAGTCAGACTCGCCGCCTCCAAAACAAACAGCACAGCAGGGAGACCCTGGGCAACTAACATGAATAGACACTTCTTGGAGAAGATCTCGGGACCCAAAGCACAGACAAAACCATCCACAGCACAGGCCACCAGAGATCTACAATCTAACAGCACCTGGATTGCACGCCATCCCATCATGAAGACATCAAGAAACAGAGAGCGCTGGAGAGGCTGTGGGTTGGCGGGCTGGGGAAGGGAGACTCATGTGCCTTAGATTTCAACATCAACTACTTAACCAGCGTAGAAATCTGTACACACTTTCCTCAAAACTCTAAGAGGAGAAATTCGATGCATTCCAGCGATTCCAGCTCTGCATATCTTCCCCAAGTACCCACAGGGGTGAGGTTACAGGGATCCAAGTGGGGCCAGGCTTAGGACCACACCATGCATAATAGCTCCACCTTGGAAGCAGCCTACAGGCCATGACAGACCAATGGGTCCAGGCAACGAACGTGCGGGTTGCTAGGGGTCACCAACTTGTGCTGGAGGTGCAAGACAAAACAGCACCTAAGGAAACCTCGGCCCTGGGCAGGTTGGCCAGCTTTCCCGACACACTCGACACCCCACCGGGCTGGCTCCTGCCACCTCCCGGAGTTCGTGTGCTCTGCCCTGGACACACACTTCCAGTCCAAGAGTCGACCAGCAGGGCCACCTTGCCCCTGACTCTCTTGCTTTCCCAGGTGCTTTTGTCCCTCAACACCGGGCCCTCCTGCATGAGCACGGGCTCTCCTGTACACACAACCCTGCCCTTCGCACAACATCCCAGCCTGTCCTGCCTGGCTCACTCTCAACTCTGCACACACGGCCAGGGTGACCCCGTACAACCTTTCCTGCTTGCAGCTTAGAACTTGTGTGATTTCTGCAGGAGGCTAGAGCACAGGCTCAGCCACTCCCAGAAAGCTGTATCCTGAGCAGCAACAGCAGTGTGCCCATGTGCGTGTCTTGGTGCTCAGCGGGCTTGGGCCTAAAGTTTCGTGTGAGGGGAGAGTGGAATCTGGGCTGGAACCATGGCACCCAGCGCACAGAGAGAGCCAGGACCCACGGGTATCGAAAGCAAGGCAGAAACACAGAGACGGGCACTGGCAAAGTGGATTTATTTGGCTCCCATGGGGCAGTGGTTGGATACTAAGGAGAGGAGCATCCTTTGCGTTGGGAGAGGGAAAGGGAGGCTCTGGAGCCCCTTGCTGGGTTCTAGCTCAGAGTCCAGCAGCTCAGTCCAGTAGGATTCCTGTCTGCCACAATGCGGGACCACATGGGCCCGGGAGGTACATAGTGGCGGTCCCCTGTCCCATGTCCCGGAGAGTGGACACGGAGATGGGAGTTCAGCAGCCGCAGCAGGAGGAGGTCAGCAGCAGCAGGAGGAGGAGGTGCCACAGCAGACAGGGTTGCAGAGGAGGGTGGGGCAGGAGGGCTGGCAGCACCCCGAGGACTGGCAGGAGGGCCCACAGCTCACGGGGAAGCACACGGAGCTCTGGCAGCACGGCTGGCAGCACCCCGAGGACTGGCAGGAGGGCACCACGCACACGGCTGGCCTGCAGCATACGGGCACACACACGGAGGCCTGGCACGACGGCTGGCAGCACCCCGAGGACTGGCACGATGGGGTCAGGCACAGGACAGGCTTGCAGCTCACGGGCACGCAGCAGGCAGCCTGGCAGGGGCTGGACCCGCAGCAGGCCGGCTGGCAGCACGGGGAACAGCTGGTGTGGCACATGGCGGACGAGGGAGAGGAGGTGGCTGTGGCTGGCAGGAGGTGCTGGTGAGGTCTGGGCCTCCACCCCGAGCTGCATTTATACCCGGTTCCCGGCAGGCCCGCCACACGCACGGCTCTGCTGTCTTCCTGCTCTGACTTCCTACTTTCCCACTCTGCTTGTTCCTTTGTTCCTGGAGCCTCAGCTTCTCCCCTAATTGCACCCTCTCTGGGCTGCAGGGACACAACAATCCCGCCCAGCACTGCACAGCCTCCACCTGGATGCTGGCTGCCTCCCTCCCCTTCCCCTGTCACTTCTGCCAGATCCCCCACCCCAAGATGCTGCTGTGAGCTCTCCCTCCAGGTGGGACGATGCCTTTGCAAATGCCACCCAGCTGACCCTTGTCCCGGGAGGCTGTGCGGGTCCAGAGAAGATGGGAGGCTAGACACGCCCTGCGCACCAACCAGATATGGTGAGAGCTCGGCGCAGTCACGCGGGAGGGAGGGCTGGACAACTGTCTGTCTCGTGTCTTTTCCATCCCATTGATTTTTTTTTTGTTTTTCATTTATTTTTCCCTCCTTCTTACTGTCTTGCTCTCTTTTTGCTGTTTGATGTTTGTTTTGCCTAAGGAAGAGGGATAAAGCCTGAGCCCCAAAGAGAAACACACGCTAAGAAACTCTGCAAAGCTGTTTGTGGAAATGGCACCAAAAGGAAGCTTTTTCCTTGACACACTGGACCTTAGGGTGTCTGTGACCAAACCACACTCCAGAAACACTCAGGGACGTCCTAGACAGAGACAGCCAGCCAAGGGAGCCCACAGACGAATGGAGTGACGAGGCTGAACCAGGTGAGTGGTGACAAACTACCGCGGAAATGGAGGCAACAGGGAAGTCAGGAACCAGAGGACCCGTGTCAGCGAGGACTGCGCACGGGGGTCAGCCCACGTCCTCCGGAGCCTCTTCTCAGGTCAGACTGTAGCTGCGGTGCTTTCAACAGACTCACTGTGTGCAAAAGAAATTCATGGACTATAAATCAAGGGGAAAATGAGCATGACATGCACCGGTCACCCAAAATCAACAAGGGAGAACCATCTCGTTCTCAAAGAATCCTTCAAGGCACAAAGGAAGCAGAACAGGGAAAGAAAGGCTCTCTAGACACGTGAAGGAGCCGCTGCACAGGAAGAAGGCAGGAGGTGGTGACGTCATGAAAATGAGCAGGCACCAAACCTCACTGCAGCACCACGGAAACAAACAGAACCGCTTGTAAAAGTTCAGGCACACAGAGACGTGGTACAGGGCTGAACCTCAAGGCCCACTTTCAAAACACCAACTACCTAACTGACAAAATAACTAAATGAATAAAGGCAATTAGAGAAACAGAAGATAACTCAGCTTCACAGCGAAACCAGACCTTTCCGTAAGACAAATCAAACACTGTCTGCTGAGGTTTCTACCCAAACGCTAAAGAACACGTGTTCTTCTCAGCAAGACCCAGGAATTCCTCCCAAGGGACCTGCAGAGCAGCCCCTTCTGGTCCTTTCCACAAGCACACAGTGTCTTGGGCGTCCCGGAGCACTGCTCCTAGATATCAAGCACACAAATAGCACAGAGAGCTTTACAAACATCGGGACATAGAGTCACACGGCCCTGAACACACAATGGTGACACAAGTGGTCAAGCAAAGAAGGAAACATTTCCTGGAAGCAAATGGGAGTGCAGGTCCCAGTTGCCAGCGCCCATGGGACACAATGAAACCAGTCCCAGGAGGGACACGGAAGGACCACGTCTCGATCTAGTATAACTCATCCTTCACAACTCAACTGCCAACAATCCAGCAAGTGGAAAACACTGTTTTGTCCCTAAAATTGGGAATGAGAACATTTCTCTTATCTATATTGCTGTTCAATATAGTACTTAAAAATTCAGCCAGAACAAGCACCCAAGGAGAAAAAGGAAAACGATATTAAAATAGGATAAGAAGAGGTCAAAGTTTACTTACTTGATGACAGGATGCTCTCCAGAGCAGACACACAAGCACCACCAAAAGACGCCTACAATAAATACTCAACCTGACAGAATGCGTAATACACGAGCACGACTCCTCCAGCCCAGTAATGAACCTGCTGAAAAACCTGAAACGGAAGAGACTCTGTACACAGCAGCATCGAGAATGACTGCTGGACGGGCAGGGCCACTTATGGTCACAGTGGCCGTGATTCCAAGGGGGATCCACACAGCCAACGTAACCGCAATCCAGCTACCAACATGCGGTCTTCACAGCATGGAGAACACATCCCTCCAAAGCACCAGGGGCCATGAGAGACCGAGAATACCCAAAGCCCTCCAGGGCATGAAGAGCAGAGGACAGGTGTCCAAGACCTGGGCTTCAAGTGTATTGCAAAGATGCAGGGCGCAACACACAAAGCAGAGCAAAATAAAGGAAGCCAGAACTATAGGAAGCAAAATGAAACAACGAAAGGAAACAGCATGCTTTGCACCAGCATTTCAAAAGACATGAGAATGCACAGCACTGAAGACAGGATGCAAAACCACTGCTGGCACAGAGAGCCAGCAGATCTGCGTCTGCCTGCTGGGCAGCACCACTGGAAGGCCCTTTCCTTAGGAAGGCCAGTGGGGACAGACAGAGCCAGACAGATCCACCTCTGGCTGCAGGGAGCAGCCACCAGAAGGCTCCTTCTTGTAGGCAGCCAGCAGGAACAGGGACAAACAGCCAGATAAGCCCTGTGCACCTGTAGGCCCCCACTGCAGGCCCTTGGTTCCTTCTGGCAGTCATCACCCAATAGTGGAATCAGACAAATACAGCCCTGTGTGTCTGTCACCATCACAGCAGTCCCATTGTAGACACAGGCTGAGAGAAGCAGCCCCACCCGCATGCAGAGAATCCCCACTGTAGCTGTACATCTGAGGAGAAGCCACCCTGCTACCTCCCTGTAAATCTGGGGTCAGAGGAACTGGGTGCCTGTCCCATGCCCCCTGCACCATGGAAGGGTATGCAACGTGGGAAGTACCAGGGAACCTACAGGAAGCCAAGAGAATATCAAGATGATGGAGGAAAAGGCATCCTCAGACCTCTACCCCACACAGAACCACTCTGGAAGATACAGTCATGGAATCAAATGCAAGTCGCGCACCTCTAAACTCTTGAGAGTGTAGCAGCAGAAATAAAGAAACAACTTCATGAGATTGCAAAAGCAGTACAATCAGATATAATGTCTCAGGTCACAGAAGAAATCACAAACACACTGGAAGGATTGTTCAGCAGATCTAAAGAAGACAGACAAAAAAGAGGAGCACAGGAAAATGACAGAAACTTTGAAAGGATATAGAAAGGAATTACAATGCATAAAGCAGGTTCTGAGAGATCTGGAAAATTAAACATTAACTTGAAAGTTCCTGAAACAGCTTGAGAGAGACTGAAGATAGACTTTCAAGCATGGAAGACAGGATTGCAGCTTGTGACCGTGAAACAAAAGGTCTCAAAAACACCATGGAATCCGGAAATAACAACTCATCGGCTGCAAGATGATGCAAAGAAGCATAACTGAAGAGTGATCAGTGTCGCTGAAGAAGCAGGGGTCAACAAAAATCAAATTCAAAGGACATTCACAGAAGTAGGAGAACGCAACTTCCCGAACATGGGAAATGGATCTGGCATGTGGGTAAGAGAAGCATTATAGGACTCCAACTGCCGTAACCAAAGTCAGTGTACACCCAGACATGTAATAATCAAGATCCTAGAAATTCAGCACAAGAACAGAATATTAAAAGCTGTTAGAGAAAAGAAACAGAGCACTTATAAAAGAAAACAAATCAAAATCAATGCAGACTTATCAACACAAACCATCCAGTCAAGAAGACTTTGGAGGGAAGTGTTTCAAACCCTGAAAGAAAACAACGTCCAAACCAGAGCTGACTACCCTACCAACTATAGTTTGAAATTGATGGAAAAATAAGATACGACCATGATAAGGAACAACTGAAGGAATTCGTGACTACAACCAACCTTACAGAGAGTTCAAAGGCATATTCTACAGAGAGATAGAGATGACCTTGGTTCCAGGAACAGCAGCAGAGGAGGATCGCCAAACAGGACAGGCAATGGAATGAAGGGAAGTGTGGAGGGCCAACAGCAGGAGGACAGCAGGGCAGAGACAAACCAATGTGTGCTGCTTTGAACCAGTAGTGTAGATCGGCTCAGGTCAGCAACAAAACGAAACATAGGGACAGTGGGTCAAGAAACAAGATCCATCGACATACTGTATGCAAGAAACACATCTGACTGGAAAGGAAATTCATGGACTGAACAGCAAAGGAGAGAAAACAAGTGTCCCATGCGACAGAAAACCAGAAAACAAAGCAAGGGTAAGTTGCCCATCAACCGCACAATGGACAAGGAACATATGGTATTTTCCTGCACTGGAGAGCTACCCAGCTACACTTAGAATAATTTCAGGGCTGCTGTAGGTAAATGGACCAAACTGGAGATCATGTTCAGGGGTGAAACCGTGCGACTTATACACGTGAACCCCAGCATCAGGAACAGAAGGAGTTAATGGGACCCAAAAGCAAGAGTTACTGTAAGAGTGACGGGGGAGGAAACACCTGGGGGGGAAAGGCAGTAACTACTGTTAAATTCTTATTGCCTTGGACTCTTGGGTTTTTTTAAACAATTTTGTTAGGTTAGGCTTTGTTCTGTCTTGTGTTGTTCTATTTTACCCACATGAGGAGAGGGGCAGCTATTTTGAATATAATGGGATCTGTGATGATGACCTAGGTTTCCTAACGTATTTCTTTGAAGTCTTATAATGCTCTCATTCATTGATATAATCGGTTTTATTGATTTCTTTCATTCTATTGTGTGTGATGGTATGAACATGTATTCTGAAACAAATGAGACATTACGGTAGCCAATGCTGACTTTCTATCACCTTGTTTTGAGGTCCTATGAGGCTTCTGTTCATCGGATTTGATTAGTTCTATCCTGTTGTGTTTAATTTGGGCTCATTATGTTGGGGGTATAGACAGCTTTTCTGCGGACAATGAGATAGGAAAGTCTTGCTCGGACACAGGAGTCAGGAGTAGACAAGGCAAAGATCTTTAACAAAGTCAGACTCGCCGCCTCCAAAACAAACAGCACAGCATGGAGACCCTGGGCAACTAACATGAATAGACACTTCTTGGAGAAGAACTCAGGACCCAAAGCACAGACAAAACCATCCACAGCACAGGCCACCAGAGATCTACAATCTGACAGCACCTGGATTGCACGCCATCCCATCATGAAGACATCAAGAAACAGAGAGCGCTGGAGAGGCTGTGGGTTGGCGGGCTGGGGAAGGGAGACTCATGTGCCTTAGATTTCAACATCAACTACTTAACCAGCGTAGAAATCTGTACACACTTTCCTCAAAACTCTAAGAGGAGAAATTCGATGCATTCCAGCGATTCCAGCTCTGCATATCTTCCCCAGATACCCACAGGTGTGATGTTACAGGGATCTAAGTGGGGCCAGGCTTACGACCGCACCATGCATAATAGCTCCATCTTGGAAGCAGCCTACAGGCCATGACAGACCAATGGGTCTAGGCAACGAACGTGCGGGTTGCTAGGGGTCACCAACTTGTGCTGGAGGTGCAAGACAAAACAGCACCTAAGGAAACCTCGGCCCTGGGCAGGCTGGCCAGCTTTCCCGACACACTCGACACCCCACCGGGCTGGCTCCTGCCACCTCCCGGAGTTCGTGTGCTCTGCCCTGGACACACACTTCCAGTCCAAGAGTCGACCAGCAGGGCCACCTTGCCCCTGACTCTCTTGCTTTCCCAGGTGCTTTTGTCCCTCAACACCGGGCCCTCCTGCATGAGCACGGGCTCTCCTGTACACACAACCCTGCCCTTCGCACAACATCCCAGCCTGTCCTGCCTGGCTCACTCTCAACTCTGCACACACGGCCAGGGTGACCCCGTACAACCTTTCCTGCTTGCAGCTTAGAACTTGTGTGATTTCTGCAGGAGGCTAGAGCACAGGCTCAGCCACTCCCAGAAAGCTGTATCCTGAGCAGCAACAGCAGTGTGCCCATGTGCGTGTCTTGGTGCTCAGCGGGCTTGGGCCTAAAGTTTCGTGTGAGGGGAGAGTGGAATCTGGGCTGCAACCATGGCACCCAGCGCACAGAGAGAGCCAGGACCCACGGGTATCGAAAGCAAGGCAGAAACACAGAGACGGGCACTGGCAAAGTGGATTTATTTGGCTCCCATGGGGCAGTGGTTGGATACTAAGGAGAGGAGCATCCTTTGCGTTGGGAGAGGGAAAGGGAGGCTCTGGAGCCCCTTGCTGGGTTCTAGCTCAGAGTCCAGCAGCTCAGTCCAGTAGGATTCCTGTCTGCCACAATGCGGGACCACATGGGCCCGGGAGGTACATAGTGGCGGTCCCCTGT